GCCCGGTCTTCCAAGTTTCCCGGTCCTGGAAGAATTGCAAGTTGCCCGGTCGTGCCGCAGGCAAGCCCGTGTCCGCGGACAATAAGGGTACCTCTGGCTGCAAAATCCCGCAGTGGCGTATGGATCGATCCCTGAAGGAGGTGGACTTGAGTTTTTACGGGAAGACCGTTTCTGAGCAGTTCAGGCTCTTTTGGACGGATCCGGGAAGCGAGCGCTGTTTCTATCCCGGGCTTCCGCGCGCCCTGGGCCCGTGGGGCAGGGGGTGGCGTCGTGAGAGAAAAAAGTGGCACACACCACGTCGCATGCTGAATGCCAAGGGGAAGTGCGTGACACGGATGGTTGCTGACCTTCTGGCTAGTCTAGGGGCAAGCTTTGTCGCATGTGATGTATCCTTGCTGCAGGGGATAGGTATTGCATGACGATGCGGTTTTGATTTCGCTCCACACTCACCGTTCTTCCGGAGGGGAGGGAATGCAGGCTCGTGCCAAGGGGCTGGTCTTGGCGTGCGCGATTCGGTGCTGCACATACCAGGACCCTCATTGGTTCACGTCTCATTTTGCCACAGGTGCCGTCAGCTCCAAAATGGGTTCAAGCGTGATCGTGAGGCAAGAAGGCTACTCTCTGCACCGGGCGGCAAGCCCGAGATGACGATGATGGCCCCTTGGCCCATTCGTTGTGGCATCACCTTGGAAAGTCTCCGTTGCTTGCAGAACGGCCTTTGGTACAGAAGCTTTATCAAAACGAAACGCAACCACTTTTTGTTCGGAAACACAACAACGTCCACAAGCAGCAACCATTGACGTTTGGAAATGGGCATGGACGACTTGTACCTCCATTTGAACCCTTGAGTAACTGGCAGGTGGTAACCAATTTTTCTGGAACCAAGCTCGGTTCCCAAAAAAGAAGGAACCAGATCGGGCCTCCCAATTCACGGTTCCACCCGCACATTCCACGTTTCCGGCACACTGTTTCACGGTTCTGCCCTCTTTTGTGTAGCCTTGTGTGTGGTTACTGGCCGGTTACCAATATAGTAGGGAACCAAATATACAGGTAACCGGAAGCACCGGGTAGCTGTACATAACCTACACGAATCTAAACAGGGTTCTTGCGTCAGGTGATTCCCTTTTGGCTTCGCAACTAAAGTACGGAACCAGTGTTTGCTTTGTCCCAGCCGCGGCTCGGGGCTTAGCCCCGGCCGGGCGACTGGTTGGTTGGTTGGTTGGTTGGTTGGTTGGTTGGTTGGTTGGTTGGTTGGTTGGTTGGTTGGTTGGTTGGTTGGTTGGTTGGTTGGTTGGTTGGTTGGTTGGTGTTCCCATCGGTGTTGGTTGAGGTAGCTCCGCGAAAGATTCGCGGAGTTGCGAAATTGACTTTTTGTTTCGTGAAAGTTTTGCGAAAATATGCCTTGTAAATCAGTGATACGGGAAACCATTCATCTTTTTTGCTGAGCCTTCCTTCTAAGCTGATTAAAAGCTTTAGCTTTTTGTGTTGGTAAAGCCCGATGAAGCCACAGTCTGATACCTGCTTGGCTGGTTAGTGCTCCAAGGGTGTGTGTGTGTGTGTCTATGGGTGTTAGTCGGTGGCTTTACGCTTTGAGCGCTTGTCAGTGTACTCGCTTGGTACTGAAAAAGTTGCGACTCCAAGCTGGAGCTGCGGAAGTGCATGTCATGTACTGCCCTGTGATGAAAAGGTGCGACTTGTCAGCTGGAGTCGAGGAAGCGCATTTCGCGCGCTACACTGGTACTTAAAAGCTTCCACTTTCTGACTTCAGCAACGAAAAGTGCACGGTGAATCCACAAAAGATTCGCGGAAGTAGCATCTTCATTCGCGAAGAATTGCCGTTTCGAGACAAGGGACTTTAATTTAGAGCAACCACCACAATTTGGAGGCCTTGTCCTGAGCCCGGCCTAGTAAAAAGCCGGCGCTAGTTTAAAAAAGCCTCAACCCTAAAGTGCTGGCTGCAATTGTTGGGCATGGGTTTGACACGCGATACGCTTGCCATTTGCTGACCAGTCATACTTGTTGCATATTTCGGTAGTAGGGCCCACAATGATGTCAACAGTAGCTGACACTGGGCCCCCAACCGGGCCTTTCTGAGGACTCCCTCAGTTTCCCTTTGTTTAAGCAGGGTATGGGTCAAACTTAAACCTGCCGACCCATTTTGGGTACAACATGATTTTTTGACCCCCGCCATCACCAGTTTGGCCCATGGGTTAGTTTTTTCTCGATGATGTCGTTCTTCTGTGAGTCGAGGCGGTGCCGAGTGTGTGCCACTGTCCCCGCCTCAGTGCCGGCGTGGCGCTTTCCGCGGATTTTCTGTCGATCAGCACCCGGTGGTTTGAGATGTGGCTAAAAATGAAAAGCTGGGGGCACGCAGGTTTTAGCCTTCGTTTCTATTGCCATATTCCGTTTTGGGTAAGCCTTGTTGACACACTCTGTGTGTCATCTAGGGTCCCGTGCCCCTTTTCGACCTCCGGAAACCCATCCAGCCCCCCAGTGAACCCCTCCATTGGCACGCCAAGGTCTTTGGCGTGCTCTGGGGCTTTTGGCCTGGCTGCCACACGGACCTTCAAGTTCAAGAAGGATGGCGCCTCCGGCCGCCCGCGGAGCGCGAGGTCGCCCTGGTCTGAGCACTTTGATCCAGCCTCAGGCGCCGAGCCAAACGATGGGCTTGCTTTAAGGATGGGCCTACTAAGACCTTTGGAAACACGACGGGGTAGAGTCCACTGTTGAGAGGGCAGCCTGCGCGGCCACAAGAACGGTATGCTGCAAAACTGCCGTAAATGCCTTTTCCCAGGATATCCCCCTCTTTGATCCTGCTTATCGTTTCGCAGACCCTGGCCAGCCGTGTGGGGCGCTTGCGCCCGCCCTGCAGGAAAGCCGTATTATTACAACAGAGCGACCAAAGTTTCGAGCTGGACAAAGCCGGAAGAGGATGAGTCCTCCCATTCAGTAGCTCCGGAGGAGATGGCGCCTTTGCTGGAATATGCGAAGTGGAGAACAAACACCTGCTATGCTTACAAGGCTGGCAACAGCACAGCCACGAGTCCGTGCAAAGCGCGCAAGCAAACTGGGTAACTCTCTTGGGAGGGCATCGCCCTGAGGGCATTGCCCTGAGGGCACGCCTTTCTATTCAAACACAGCCGGTATGACCACTTGCCTGTAAGAAGGGACATGGCCGGTTTGCGTTTGTGCATGAACAGCCGACAGCCATCACAAATTCACGCTTACATGCCGTGCATGTTCATTTTTATATACATGAGATATGTGTGTACACATTCTACATGATTAGACATCACAGACAAATGCGCATCAGATTGCATCGCTTGCAATGGGACTGGCCCAAGGTTGTGGAGCCCGTTTCACGTTCTTCCTCGAAGATGAACAGACAAGCCTCCGCCAGGAGCTTGCAAGGACCGGTCAGTCAGTTTTTGGCCTTGGCCAGCAGTTTATGCTAGGTCCCCCAGCTAGGTGCCCTTTCTCACCCCTTTTTGGCTGCGAGGGTTCCCCTGCTAAGACTACAGAGAAAAGGGTACCCTTATTCTAACCTCTCTACTGGATGACCTAGTAATACGGGGATGATTCCCCACTAAACCCAGATAAACTGGGGTCGATGAATATGGGCTCAGCATTAGCTGTTTTCGGGAACAGAAGAGGGAACTGAGCTGCTGAGGCGCTCTTTTTCCTTGCATCCGTTCTGCAGCTCTTGCGCGTTAGGGGAGCCACTCAATTATTTCGCAAGAACGTGAGCCCTGCCCCCCCAAAGACTGGGAGCCCTTTGGCTGACAGCAATCGCCGTGGACGCAATCACTGGCAAGGAAAGCGATTGCCCATCGCTCGAAGTAAACTCGGGCGCCTGGATGGGACTCCCCAAAACGGGTCACCATTTTACTCGCCCATGGTAATTCTGCTCAGTGCCCTCTATGAAAACACGGGCGTGTGACTGGAACCAACTGGATCCTCGCGACCAGGAGTGCTGCAAACTCAGCGGAGCTTGGCTACCCTCGGCCGGGGCCCTAGAAGCGGGATATGGACACCGTTTATAACCACCAGGAATTCGCCGCCAAATACCCGCCAGAAAAAAGAAAAGACCAAAAATGGATCTGTTGCATTGCCTGTAGCTGGTGTCTTAGGTCGTTTTGTGACTGACTTTGGGCTGATGCAGTGGGAACCTAAGCCCCTTTCAAAGGCGCCGCGCGGTTTTTCGGGAAGGTCCGGAGTCCAGCCTGGTCCGCTGCCATCGCCCAAAAAAAACACACACTGTGCCACAGAAGCTTTTCCAGCACCATGTGACTTGGTGGCCCCCAGCCATCCGGTTCCTTAGTTCTTTAGCTTTTTGGGTTTAGAGGGGTTTCCATTTAAACGCCACTAAAAGTGAACCATTTAGCAGGGGACGGTTTTCCCTCCCCAGTCAAGATGCTGACAGCACGTTTTGCTTTGAGCGACGAAGCGTCTTGAGTTAGCAGCGCTGCCGCTCCCCAGTTCGTAGCTCCCTGTCTGGGGCCAATAGCAATACTTCCATTGGCTGAAAGAAGCATCAGGGTTGTGGGTGATCACTCGGAATTGGTTTCTCCAACCACTTCTGTGATACAAGTTGGAATCCCCCTTTATTGCACAAAATAGAAGCCCTTCTTGTTGTATCACAGAATATTCACCACAGCCCTGAAATAAGCATTGTTTCTGGCCCCCTCTTGTTTCGAAGGGAGTCTAGCACTTCCGGGACAATGTGATCATTTTTTCCAGGGGCCGAAAAAATGGATAGCAACCGTGTTTTTGAAAAAACACAACAACGCAAAGAAGCAGAAAACATCCCAGGGCTGGAGAGTGCCAGCTTTACTCCTCATCAGAGGGCGGCCTGTATCATTAGGGACTGGCCTGAGGGGGGAAGTACTCTTTAGGAGCTTGTCGCACCATGTTTTCTTTGCTACTTCCGGCTAGTTGTGTTTGCGAATTTTGAAAAGCAACCCTTTAGACTATGGAGGGAATTAGCACCCTTTCTCCCACTAACATGGCACCTGACAGAGGGTTTTTCAAGGAGAAACTCCATCTTCAAGGTACCCTCCCACAAAAGCTGTGTTAGTGAGAGTAGGTATTGGTAGAAGTATTGGCAGTATCTGTTGTAATTCGATGTTTGTTTGTTTTTTCCTCCGAATTGTGGGATTTAGAGGCTGCAAGGGAACAGTCGTTGCTACGGGGGGGGTTGCCAAACATTGATTAGGTATTTCGTTTGGCGAAACCTTATTGGCCCCTTCAAGCAGGGAATTGGGGGTTGAAGCGGACAGTCTTCATACGTCGGGGGCCCAGGTGTCCCCTTTAGGCTTATTTTGGGGGCTCTGGTTTAGAAGGGGTCAATTCCATTTATCAGAACAAACCCAACTATGGCCACATGGAAGGGGATGATGCTTCAATTGATCAGGGCCTCCTTCAACAACAGTGCCAGCAGTCATTAGGCTCTTTAGTGAAATGGGGGGGGGGTTGGCTTGGGGCATCATTGCCAAATCGAATTTGGTGTTGCTTGGGCGTTTTCTTGTTTTGTTCTCTTTCTCTCTTTTTTTTTTTTTTTTGGGGGGGGGGTTGAGAAACACATTCCGAATAGCGCACCCAAAAAACAGCCCCATAATTATGAATTTGGGAAAACAACTTTTTGTGGAGAGCCCAATTGTTTTCAGCAAGGTCCAACGTATTACAGCGTTGTTTGAACGCAACGCACCAGCCAAGGAAAAAAGCCTGACGAGCCCAGGCTGCATTTGAAATTCACAGGATGCGCGGCGTAGAACTTGGACATCTTGGACGTTGGAATTGGTGGAGACTCCAAGCTCCTATCATAGAACTTGTCTTTTCCTAAGACCGCCGCAAACACACCTCCAAACATGGTCTATAGGAGTTTTTTTTCCCAGGGTGTGTTTGGGGTGGCGTGTTTGGTTTCTTCCTCAGGATGGTTGTGATCCCAGCTCAGCAACCCATACTTAGCCGCAACAGCACGTCACAAGCAGCTAGGGTGCTGGAGGCAGAAGCGACTTAAATGTAAGTAGACCGTTGCTTGTCCTCTTTTCTCAGCTTGACTCGAGTTGCTTGAAATTTCTTATATCCCCCCCACCTGCCTGATACATGAACCACAAGCGTTTGTGTTTTGAACGTGCTGACCCGGAAGAGTGCACGGGACATGCAGCTGGCTGGCTCAGCATTTACTTTGAATTGGGTGAGGGTAGATGTGACAGCATCCCCATTTAAGTTTTGAAGCTCAAGCTACCCATTCGCCATAGCTAACCCTTCTTCATGCTATTCGCAAAGTTTTCAGATCAAGGGAAGATGGGTTTGTGATGGTTTGGGAAGTTGAACCCTCAGCTCGTAGCGTGGAACACTGCGTGGACTGCCTGGTCGTATGCGTGAACTGCCTGGTCGTATGCGTGGTCGTATGCGTGGACTGCCTGGTCGTATGCGTGGAGCACGGTCGTATGCGTGGAGCACGGTTATATGCGTGGACTGTCAGTGGTTTTATTTCAGTTGCACATTGGCCTGAGCTTTCACATACCGCAGCCTCCATGTCGCTTGAGGCTCGGCTTGAGGTGCTTAGTTTCTGCGCACATGTTTGCCCGTCGGAAAAACAAATGCGCGAGAAAGTGTGAATGGGGTCTGCGAAACATGTGTACCCGCGCATCCGCGCACAAGCCTAGGTCTTCCATTTGGCATTTTTTGGGCTCAGGGCATTTGTTTGCTTGTTCTGCCGGTGTGTCTCTGTTTGTGTCGGTCTACTCGGGGCTGTCTGACTGTCTGCCCGCTGCCTGTCTGTCAGTCTGTTTGTTTGTCGGTGTGTCCGAGGAGTCGGTGTCTCCGTCTTGTTGCGTTTGCGTGCCTGCGCCCGCGCGTCAGGCCTGCCGTCCCCTTCTCAATGTTGACCGACGCGTACGGTTGACTGCGTTCTCATCTCAACGGTGATTCCGGTGCAGGGGGGGGAAGAGCAGCAGCGCCTTGCGCGCTTCCACCTTTGCTCTCACTTCAACATTGACTTCCGGGGGGGCTCGCATCATCTGGCTTGCAGAGAATTGCGTCGCTGTGTGCGGGTCGATTTTCTGTGTGTTGGTTCTTGATTTGGCATGACTTGGCAAGTTTTCTCCCGAAAAATGGGTGGAAATCAGCGGGACATGAGCGGAAAATGAGCGGGAAACGAGCGGACATTGCGGACGCACACCGGAGCAAGTGTCCAATTGAGTGTGTTTATATATATATATATATATAATATTTATAAATATATTTGAGCGTTTTTGGGCAACATGAGCGTTTTGTTGCCCGAAACGGGAAGATACTAGTACAGGAAAAAGCGTCCAGGGAAGACCTAGGCGCGACCCACTCTTCACCCAGTTGCACCTGTCATCTTTTCCCATCCCGACGCCGAATCAGACGCGTTTGGACAAAGGTAGAACAGTTGTATGCGAGAAGCAGGGTCGTGTGCGCGGTCGTGTGCGTGAAGCACGGTTGTATGCGTGGAGCACAGTTGTGCAATGACCCGTCCAGTGGCCCAGCCAAAAGGATCATGATGAGCAAAAGCCGTGCGCATCCGAGCGCAAAAAATCAATGCCAAGGGAGATGCCCCCGTGATATGAGATTCTCCTGCGTATGAAGAATGGTGAAACACATAGTATGCATTTTTTCTGGAGATGGGGACACTTGCCATCGGAACAGCATGTGAGCCCCTGCACTTGCGTAACGGATCCGCGAATTACCGTTCCTTCCGTGGCTGAAGGCACACGGGCATCACCGGAAAAGCAGCTTGGCCCAAAAAAATCGTGAGGGCTTGAGAGCTGCGTTCCAAGCTTGACGCATTTTGGTGGAATGGGTGTGGGTCAAAATCAAACCACCAGGCGAGCGCAGGTTCTGTTTCCATTTGCCGGGCTCCATTTTGGGGTTACCCTATTCTTGGCCCACGCCCTTCATGGCAATCACTCAGGCTGTCTCATCGACCCGCGGTGGGGTGCCAAGCTCTTATGGGACTTCTTCGCAACTTGGCATGGAAGGTCAGGGCCGTTTTTTGGGGGCTGGTGGGGCAGCCCCCGGCAGCGACGCGCGCCCTGTAGCCCTGGGAAGCGCGGGCAAGCTCAGGGCAGCCAAGTTGCGTTTGAGGTGATGTTCGTGGTCCTCTTTGACGCCCTCATCCTACCCTTTCAGCTGGCGTTTAAGACGCCTGGCTGCACATGGGAAAGGGCAGGCAGGCCCTTTGCCTGCCAATCGCGCATTTGTTGCACTGCTGTGTTGCGCACCTTGGCTCAGGAATAACTCCCACGACAGTTTCGACGAGTTCTGGTTTTGGTGGACGACAGTCTTGTTCAGCACGGGGCTCAGCTTTTTTTTCTGGTCAGCATGCCTGCTCTCTCGCTGGCCTTCTGTTTTTTTCGGCGGCGGGGGTTGGGGGCCAAGCTGCCGAGCGCTTGGGACGCGAAAAACTTGACTCGCAGGTGCTGACATTGTCCTGAGCTTTAACACTGCCATCCAAGTGGACGATGATGGCAGCCGGCCAGATGCCCTCCTTCGCGACAGGACTGTTGGTCTCAAAACGCCTGGAAGGAGCGTTTTCAGAGTCCTTTTTCCCCCAGTGGCGCCCTTTTACCCTTTTTTGGGGGAGGGTTCCCGTACTAAAATAGACCCTTATTCTAACCTCCCTAGTGCAGGACCTAGGTCCGCCGGAGGCCTTCGGCTTCTCGGAGCCACACATCCCTCACCCCATCCTATCAGGATGGGGGGGTTTCCCTTACGAAAGTGACTGGTCCAATCGAGGGCGCTCATGAACCAATGAGATGAATCCTAGGTTCCCAGATGGTTGCAATCCAGGTCGCTCCAGTGTTGAGGCATTGATTGACCTCTTGAAACTGCTCGGATGGGTGTTTGTCAACATCACGACCTTGAATTCAAGCTGCCCGCAGGAAAGCCATTGCCATCGCATACGCGCCTGGCTGCAAATTGGTGCTTTGAGTTTTGACCAGTCGACGTGGGTTGTCCTTGCTTGCACTGAGGCTGTCGCTTCAGGTGTTTTTTTTTTTTGCTGGGAAAAAGGGAAGGTTAGTAGTCAGCCATACAATGAGGCTCTCCCGCTCAACGAGAAAGCTCACATGCCCCGAGGTGAAGGGCTGGTTTTCCATCGACTTTTTCAGCACTGCGCTGACCTCAGCAGAAGGGCTCTGAACACGAAGGTCAAGGCCACAGATGGCTGCTATTGAGCTATGGCTTTCCCAACTTGCCTTCTTTTGTGACCAACGGGCCCATGGGCCCAATGGATCCAAGGATCTTCAAGCTTAGAGATAGCAGCTTTCTACCAACGGCAGTGGTCACATCCGAGAAAGTCGGCCCTGATGAAATAGCATCATGTTTTTGTTTTTTCTTTTTCTTTTTCCCCCCCCTCAGTGCATGTCTCAACCTTGTTACTCAAGCTGGTGAACCATGAAGCACAGTGAAGGCAATGCAAGCTCCAGTCTCCGCAAGCCCATCCTCATGAAACTCGTGAAGTAGACCAGCTGGAAGCCTGCAAGGAGTTTTCGCAAGACACAAGAGCCACCAACAGCTTGATGTAATGGGTTTAGCAGTGGGTGTTGGGTTCAATGTGAAACAACAAGTGGGTTTTGTAGTGACATGTTTCGTCATACGCCTACATGTTTAAGCACATGTTTCGTCATACGCCCACATATTTAAACGCATGTTTCGTCATACGCCCACGTGTTCAAGCGCATGTTTGATCATACGCCCACATTGTAAGCGCATGTTTGATCATACGCCCGCATGTTTAAGCGCATGTTTGATCATACGCCCGCATGTTTAAGCGCATGTTTGATCATACGCCCGCATGTTTAAGCGCATGTTTGATCATACGCCCGCATGTTTAAGCGCATGTTTGATCATACGCCCGCATGTTTAAGCGCATGTTTGATCATACGCCCGCATGTTTAAGCGCATGTTTGATCATACGCCCGCATGTTTAAGCGCATGTTTGATCATACGCCCGCATGTTTAAGCGCATGTTTGATCATACGCCCGCATGTTTAAGCGCATGTTTTCGCTATACGCCAACATTTAAGCGCATGTTTTTTTTTTTTTATAAGATCATACGCCGCATGTTTAAGCGCATGTTTGATCATACGCCCGCATGTTTAAGCGCATGTTTGATCATACGCCCGCATGTTTAAGCGCATGTTTGATCATACGCCCGCATGTTTTAGCGCATGTTTGATCATATATCGCCCGCATGTTTAAGCGCGCATGTTTGATCATACGCCCGCAATGTTTTTAAGCGCATGTTTGATCATACGCCCGCATGTTTAAGCGCATGTTTGATCATACGCCCGCATGTTAAAGCGCATGTTTCGCTATACGCCCGCATGTTTAAGCGCATGTTTGATCATACGCCCGCATGTTTAAGCGCATGTTTGATCATACGCCCGCAGTTTAAGCCGCATGTTTGATCATACGCCCGCATGTTTAAACCGCAAGTTTGATCATACCTCCCGCCTGTTTAAGCGCAATGATATCGCTATACTCCCGCATGATTTTAAGCGCATGTTTGATTCATACGCCCGCATGTTTAAGCGCGGTGTAATCGCTATACGCCCGCATGTTTAAGCGCAGTTTGATCATACGCCCGCATGTTATAAGCGGCATGTTTGATCAATACGCCCGCATTTTTAAGCGCATGTTTGACGCTATACCCCCGCATGTTTAAGCGCAAGTTTGATCATACGCCCGCCCCATTTTTAAGCGCAATTTGATCATACGCCCGCATGTTTTTAGCGCATGTTTTCGCTATACGCCCGCATGTTTAAGCGCATTGTTTGATCATACGACCATGTTAAGCCCTTTTTGATCATACGCCCGCATGTTTTAAGCGCAAGTACGCTATACGCCCGGACATGTTAAGCGCATGTTTTGCTCATACGCCCGCATGTTTAAGCCATGTTTGATCATAGCGCCCGAAAGTTTAAGCGCATGTTTCGCTATACGCCCGCATGATTAAGCCATGTTTGAATCAAACTCCCTCATGTTTTAAGCGCATGTATAGATCATACACCCCAGCCCACCCTCCCCCATAACCCGACCCCCTCCGACCAAAGCCACGCCCGCAATGTTAAAGCGCATGTTTCGCTATACGCCCGATGTTTAGGCGCATTTGTGATCATATCGCCCGCATGTTTAAGCTCATTATTGATCAAACGCCCGCATGTTAAGCGCATGTTTCGCTATACGCCCGCATGTTTAAGCGCATGTTTGATCATACGCCCGCATGTTTAAGCGCATGTTTGATCATACGCCCGCATGTTTAAGCGCATGTTTGATCATACGCCCGCATGTTTAAGCGCATGTTTCGCTATACGCCCGCATGTTAAGCGCATGTTTGATCATACGCCCGCATGTTTTAAGCGCATGTTTGATCATACGCCCGCATGTTTAAGCGCATGTTTGATCATACGCCCTCAATGTTTAAGCGCATGTTTGCTCATACGCCCGCATGTTTAAGCGCGTTTGATCATACGCCCGCATGTTTAAGCGCATGTTTGATCATACGCCCGCATGTTTAAGCGCATGTTTCGCTATACGCCCGCATGTTTAAGCGCATGTTTGATCATACGCCCGCATGTTTAAGCGCATGTTTGATCATACGCCCGCATGTTTAAGCGCATGTTTCGCTATACGCACGTTTAAGCCATGTCCTTAAACCTGTGGACTTATGACGAAACGCATGCGCGTACGCATGTGGGATGACAAAACGTGTGGGGCTTATGACGAAGCCCGCGAAGCCCCGCACGAGCGCGAGGTCCCTTGGCCCCGGCTCGCCTCGGTCTTTGCCGCGGGGCAATCCGACGGCGGGGGCGCCAAGGGGTTCGGAATCTGGACTGGGCTCAGGAGGAAGGGGTTTTTGTCTTCCCGGCCCCCACTGGGTGGTGTTTTTGGTCGGTTTTCCGACCCTGGAAAACGGTTTTTGTGGGTCTCCCGAGCCTGGAAAGCTGTATTTTGTTGGTTTTTCCGATGGGAGTCTTGCGGTTGCGATAGCAGGGAATGACGGAGGAGTGGCGTGGGAGAAGTGGCGGGAGGGGATTCCCTGCAAGGAATCCATGGGGTTGTTCCCTGCTGAGAACCAGCAAAGAAAAGCACCAAGAAGCCTCAAGACACAATTTGGCTTCCTTGTGCGGAATGCACACATGACTAGTTTTTGCTGCTTGCGCAGCAAACAGCAGGGCTTTGTTGAGGTCGCCGGCGCATGTGACAGGGCACATGTGTTATGTGTGCTACTGCTTCGGGGGGAGTGCGTTGGATGCTGGCTCCGTACAAGTGGCAGGCAATCAGTTGTTTTGATAGGTTTCATCAACAACCAAATAGGTTTTGATAGGTTTCATCAACAAAATAGGTTTCAGTTGGTTTGATAGATTTCATCAACGGCCATTTTGGGCATCACTCTTCTGACGCTGGCCTTGGGATGCTTCAGCCGCTCGGGGAAACGGGGCTTCGGGACTGGGTGTTGCCCCTGTCTCCAAGGGCAATTCGCCTCTGGGAGAAAGACTCTAGTACGTGTCAAGTGTACACAGGTAGATATGATGCATAGACATGGTTTAAGGTTACTTAAGGGTTTCTTTAAGGTTGGCTTTTAGGGTTGGCTTAGGTTTGTCCACTAAGATGGAACCTGACAAACCCGCGGTCCTGGAAGACCACGTTCCTTTAAAATCTTGCTGTCCGGGTTCCATGGCGACGGACGATAGGTTTAGCGTGTCCTTTTTGGTCCTGTGGGTATGGGTCCAAAACAGAGCTCACCGCCGGAGGGCAGGATTTTGGTCACCCTACCCCACCCCACCCCACCCCACCACTCCACTCCACCCACCCACCCCACTCTGTATATCACCAACAGGCACTCCTGAGGCCGGGTCGCGGCCTCGTTAATTGAAATCCGAGGCGGGTCCACACAAGCAGCCAAGCTGCTGAAGGCCGGCCGGTGCTTGTCTTTGTCCTTTGGATCGGCTAGTTTTTGGTCAAAAATGGATGGGTTCCACTGGGTTTAGATTGCTTGTATGCCCCATTTGTTCGTGGGAAACCCATGTAGTTTCCCACAAGGACACCTATGGTCATGGCTGCGCTTTACAACGTGCGACGCTTTTGCCAACCATTTGCAGAAGGAGTTGATTGGTGTAGCATTGGCGCGGACATTTTGGAGCACGACTTGCTGATTGTGGCATCCATGGCACAAGGCAAATTCAAACATTGGAGAAGAGGAGTTGTGGTGTTCGGTTCATTTTTGTTTCTGCGCAGGTCGTGAAGTTTTTGCGCTTGATGCGGCTGATGCGAATGCCCCTCGGCCCTTGACTTTCACATGCGCTATGTCCCCCGCATATGGGTGTGTCCCCTTGTTTAGGGGACCCCAAAAAAGGATCTCGGTGTTCCCTTTCAAATCACCGAAAGGAAGCCAACCCCAAAAAAGAGACACCCATCGTTCGCATGCGGCACAAGCCAAGCATCTTGTGATGAGGCTTGAGAAGCTGACTGAATCTGCAAGGACAGTTTGCAGTGGTCTAAGGGGTGGACTCATGCGTGACGTAAACTTTTGCGCTTCTTCGTTTTGTTTGACCATCCATGTGTGCCCATGGTATAGCGAGCTCACCGGTAAAACGGGCGAAAGCCATGATAAAGGTTCTATGCTTGGGGATCCAAATCTTAATTCAGCTTTTGGAATTATCGTAAAACATGCAGATCCAGATTCTGCATAGCCTTTGGATTGCACACCTGGGATGCAAACGGGGGGAATCGAACTTCCACGGGCGTTACCAACGTTTGAAGCCGAGAAGCTTCTCGTAACTGGAGCTAAGTCTTCCAAAGGGGTCCTGGGAGCGAGGGAGGGTATGGTTTCCGTTGGGGACCTTCAGCTTGTGAGGGATGGGGATATGCCACGCGAATGGTCTCTCAACTGAACAAACGAGCCACTTTTCAGGATTGACCATTCTTTCCAAATTTGCGCAAGCAGCTCGGAGGGTTCGCGTGCAGCCAGAAAACGGGACTTCACATTGAACATGTCATTGCACCTAGATGCCCCTCTTCCCACCAAAAAACACTCAAAACAATAACACAAGAAACAAGCAATCCTAAGGAAAAAAAACTCAAGAAACAAACAAACAGCACAAACACTATAAACAAACACAAAAGCACAAACACGAGAAGCAAAAGCAACACAACAAGCAACACAATGGACAAACAGAACAAACAACAACAAGCAAAAAAGAAGAAGCAAACAACGAACACACACAGGACAGCTAAACAGCACAACTCACCCGAAGCACTGCTCCGCGTTTATCGATTTCATTGGAGGCTCCGCATGGCCAAGCTGCGCAACGTGGCCGGAAAGTGGAGGTGTCAAATTTGGTTCTCCAAGTAGGGGGCCCCATATTTTCATCAATGCAGGGTTTTACTAGGCGGGTGGGTTGAATCCCTCCAAAAGTGGTCTGATTCCAAGCCAAATCCAGGGAGAGGCACCCCCTGCTGATAAACTGGTTGGTTGATTCAGAATCTAGGTCCAGCTACGTGCCCTTTCTCACCCCTTTTTTTGGGGTTCCCCTACTAAAATAGACAGGAACAAGTCACGAAAGCTAGCTTTAGCTAGCTGAAGTTTCTCCTTGCGTAAGCAAGGTAAGGGGCTCAAATGCCGAAAGATTGATTTTTTCAATTATTTGAGCCGAAAAGATTGAAAAACATCAATTATTTAGACCCCCCCCCCCTCCCCCCCCCCCGGGTCTCAGGCTCGATTCCTCCCTGGTCCATCCCCCCCCCCCGGGCAGTGGCTCAGTGTTCAGCAGTCTCGGTTTGCCCGTTTTGGACTTGGTGCTACGAACTTTTACATGTTCCACCGATTCAGCTTGTTCATTTGAGACCTCAGTCTTCTCGGTAAACCACCTCGCAAGAATCTTTGCACACGCTGCATGCAGAACCCAGAGGTGCTTTAAGACAGCTTCTGACGCCTCTCGTTGCTTTCATTTTTCAAGGTTTGCCACGCCACCATGTGCGTTTGCGTGTCGCATCCTACGAATCTTGCCGGGCCTCTCGTTGTACACAAGCTACCTATGAATCCACTCTGTCACCGACCCATCTCATGCAACAACTGCTAGCTTTCGTTCACCCGCTCCTCAAGTTGGTACCCTTATTCTAACCTTTCTACTGGAGACCTAGTTTCCGTTCCCAGCCCTTTGGCTCCAGAAAGGTTTTTGTTTTTCGACGGTTTAGTGGGGCGGGGGGTTCTAACCCACCAAAACTTCGACTTTTCGCAGGGTTTTAGCAGGGGATCTGAGGACGGCCCAGTTTTTGGATGGCTTCCTGGAGGGAAACTACCTGGAGGGATACCAAATTTGGAGAAACACCCATATTTATATACATATATAATTACATGAGTATATATGTATGTATGTACCGTTATTCTATGCAATGCAATATGATGTAGTGCAATGCAATGTAGTGTAATGAGTGGAATGGAATGGAATGTACTGTAGTGTATGTATGTGTGTGTGTCACAGTTCAAGAGTAAATGATAATTGCTTTGATCTGATTCTATGTATAAACACACACACACACACATATATATATATATATATAGAAAAACTGTGCGTGCGTGCGAGCGTGTGTGTGTGTGTATACATATGGTTGTGTGTGTGTGTGTGTGTGTGTGTGTGTGTGTGTGTGTGTGTGTGTGTGTGTGTGTGTGTGTGTGTGTGTGTGTGTGTGTGTGTGTGTGTGTGTGTGTGTGTGTGTGTGTGTGTGTGTGTGTGTGTGTGTGTGTGTGTGTGTGTGTGTGTGTGTGTGTGTGTGTGTGTGTGTGTGTGTGTGTGTGTGTGTGTGTGTGTGTGTGTGTGTGTGTGTGTGTGTGTGTGTGTGTGTGTGTGTGTGTCTGTGTCTGTGTCTGTGTCTGTGTGTCTGTGTGTCTGTGTGTCTGTGTGTCTGTGTCTGTGTGTCTGTGTGTGTCTGTGTGTGTGTGTCTGTGTGTGTGTGTGTTTTTGTTGTTTTGTTGTCTAAGGACTTACTGTTGGATCCTGTTTCTTCTGTTGCTGCTCCTTCCTCTTGTGCTCCAGCGCGGGCTCCTCCTTCAACACTGTTCGCATGCGGTGATGCGGCCAAGCCTTTGGCCAAAACATGTTGTCAAACAGAGTATTCCAACACAACACGCAAAGGCAACCGCACGACCTTTTGTTTGACAAATGGCAGTGGCTCAAAATTAAACAGGAGGGGTTACGCAGGTTTTGGTGTATGTTTCCACTTACCAGGGTTCCATTTTGGTACCGTTTTTTTGTTTATGGTTTTTAGTTGGTTCTTTGTTGGGACAGTTCTGGCCAACAGTTCCATGATTCTGCACGAGCTCACCCTGGGGCTTATATCGCCGATGCCGCCTTTATGGATCCTTTCTGAAGTGAGGTAGATCCAACGGACTAGTTCGTGCAGATGTTTCGTTCAGCATGCTGCTCCCATGTTGGTTCATAGTGTCATGTTGAGGGCACGGCAACGTAAGATCCCCATGTGACTTCTTTGTGTCGGCAAGGCGAGCATGCTCTATTACTCTTTTGCTTTAAAACAGCACGGGCCAGTGCCCACATCCTTGCCTGAGTTTTGCAAAGGCCTCCCTAGAAGATGGTATCAGCGAGCCTGCTCACGTTTACTGGATGCAGCGGGGCAGTTACTAAGGAAAGCTTTGGGAGAGAGTGGAGGATGAGATTGGGTCAGTTTTGCTGGTGCAGCCGCTTGTCTGCAGAGAGCAGGGCTGACATTGAGCATGTGTTTCTGATTCACTTTTCGCATTCGACGCACATGTCTGGCTTCTTTTCAACCTGGTCCGGGCAGCCCGGGACGGGAGGGCTTGCTCGTGCTTCTGCCGTGTTTGCATCCGTGCCGCATGCGCTGTCTATGCTTCTGGGCATTGCGCTCAACACCTTCAATGTGTTTTGGGCTTCCCCCGCCCCCCCTCCCACCCCCCATTTGTGGGCGGGTCATGCTTCACTCGTGTAGCCTTTTTGGGGGGGTCTATGGGTGGGAGCCTCATTGCAGCATCAGCGTGGGTCATTTACAAAAAGCCCTACCAGTGAAAGAGAAAGAGAGAGAGAGAGAGAACAGATTGAGAGAAGGCCATGGCCTCTCACGGTCCGTGCCCAGAGTCTGCAGAGGTCAGTATGCTCTGGGGCTAAGTCGAGGATGGACATTTCGGTACAAAGCTGGACGCATGCTGCAGCTGGTGTGAAGCTGCAGTAGCCAATGCTGGCAGCATTTGGCACCCCTGGAAGTCTCCGAGATAGTGTAAAGGACCCACAAGATGACCCCACTTCGTTTCACACAGGAAAACGCGGCGCAAACTGCAACATGTGCACCTGAGGTCGATGATGTTGGTCCGCATCCTCGTGATTGTTATTGCCATATGCCGTTGGGATGGCACATGGCCGGCCGGTCGGCCTGTCGGCCTGTCGGCCTGTTGGCTCGCTTTGTTTTTGCTGCTGTTTTGCTGGCAAAGGGGAGGCATGGCCACATGTTCTTTTCCTTTCAACGCTTGATCCCCCAAATTTCAGAGAGCCAGAGAGGGAGGAGCCCAGGGGCCTCCGCCGGAGACCTTTGCCTCGCTGTCAGTTGCCAAGGTCACTGGAGCGCCTGCATCTTCTGGATGGTGGGGAATCCGGCGCCCTGGCAAGGCTTTAGCTTCCAACGCCGTTTGCTGAAGATGTGTGTATTTCCCCCTGTTGGCTTTGGGGGGAACCGATCACTGGTGGATATTTGTTCATTTTTGTCCGGGGCACTGACGCAAATGGAGGTCGCCCCAAAGAGTTTGAGGGGAGGTCTCGACACTCTGTGCCACTTCCTGGCGTGGCCAGCAGGCGACTTGCTGCGTGCCACCGAGTGATCAGTTCTTCCCACGCTGCGCCAAATCCTGAAATTCATTGGAGATCATTGGGAGGTGGGAATCCATTAGTTCAGAGTTGTTGGCCGCCAAAAACACTCAGGAACCAAGTTGTGGGCGGGGGTTTGTTAAGGACAGCTTGATCACAGACCTCATGCCAGACAACATCCTCCAGGAGCCGTCGTGCACATGGCACCAAACGGGATTTAGGGCAGTAGGCAGTATGTGGCCAATGCTTGCAATGACCAGAAGGCTTGTCGGAAAAGCTTGGGAGCTTCTTTGAGACCCAATGCCGCTTCTGCAAGGGCCCGCAAAAGGAGTCTAACTGCTGTGCTTGGAGCGCAGGAGTTTCTGCAAGTCCCGCACTGGACGACAATCAGCAGGACTGGGAGCGGGACAGCGGGACTGCTAAGGATGTGGCATAGAGATACGGCACTGTCTAAACTCGAGGTGCGGGACAGTGGATTTGTTCTAAACTCGACAGTGCGGGACAGCCCTGGATTTGTTCCTGGACTGCGACTAGTTGTTCAGGTGACGCACGTTCACCTTATCAGCTGAACCAGCGTGAGCTATCGCAGAGTGGAGTCCCAAGCGTTTATGAAAAACATCCAAACTAATGAATCATGGATCAGAAAAATCTCCGTGAAGGATGATTATTAGGCATCCAGGGTTGTGGGATCAAGGGGTTTTCCCCCACTTCTGTGATACAAGTTGGAATCTCCCCCTAAAAAAGGGGGTGAGTCTTTGATCAGCCCTTTCTGTTGTATCACAGAAGTGGATTCCATTCCCCACAAGCCTGGGCATCTCCTCGGGCAAAAGGTACATCTCATACCTCCGGAGCTCATCAAGTTTCTCAGGACTCATGGGCCCAACCAGGGGACTTGGCGCTGGGTCGACCGACCCACCTCTGAGTCGCAGCTCGGATGCAGGCGTTTTCCCCTGCCATGACAGCAGCCATGGCCGAAATGTCGAAATTGGCCGTGGGTGAAAAATGGGTACGAAACATGGAACCCTGGTAAGTGGAAACGTGGACTAAAACCTGCGGTCTGCTGGTGGATTAGTCTTCACCCATACCCGTATTGGGGTCATGAATGATCCCTTTCAGTTTCGGGGGCCTGGTCGTGCAGCATCAGCTTGCCGATTGTGGAAAGCCATAGGGTGAATCCTGGCACACATGTTGCGCCAGCAACATGCTTTACGTATGTCGCATGTTGCAGGGCCTGACTTCAATTGTGGCCTATGCTACGTCGCATGGCACACAAGGCACTCCTTGTGAGGCAAGTTGGCAGCCCGAGCCATCTCCAGCCAAATTGGATCGCCGGGAAAGGAGTGCTGCCATAGGTGTCCTTTTTGGTTGGTTTGCTTAAAACATCGAAGGCCCTGGTTTACCTGGTGGTGCAATCATTTACCAGGGCCGTCTATTTTCCAAGAAGGACACCTATGAGTGCTGCGTTTCCCTCCCTTTACTCCCTCCCACAGCCCTACCCCATGGCTTTCGGGGGCTTATCTTCTTTTCGAGCAAGAGTTGCTGAAGGTGTGTGGCTCCATCTAAGATGAGACTAGGCGCCACTTTACTTGAAGCACAGGGAAATCCCGATTGAGTCAGGTTCATTGCAACTATGGAACCAGCAAGTGGGTGACTTGTCTTTTGGGATTTGGACTCAAAAGGTGCCCCCTTTTTAGCCACAAATAGGCACGTAGGCTCATCATGACATGACATCTCTCCATCGCACTTTCTCGGCGCTGGCCGGGCGGCTGAGGTACATCTTCTGCTTCTACTGGACCCTGGGAGTGATGAGGCCGGCATGGTGCGAACGCATGCGGTTCGATCGCATTGATCTATCCGGAAGACAGAGAATTATCGCAAAGCATTGCAACAAACATATCTGTCGGCAGCATGGCAAGGCTACTGGTGTTTTGTTTCTTTGCTTTGTCCTGCTCGTCCTTTGCTGCAGGACAATGCCGGCTGAGGTGATCCCGGTAGCTTGGCAGCACATGCCGGGAAGTGCACTCGATGTTGTGCCAAGGGTTTTCGTTATTGCAGTGCTCAAATTCATTCGGAGAGTTGCCGCACGCCGCATGAAGATGTGGGAGTGCAAGGTGAACCTGGCAGAGCGGATCTTTGTGCTGTTGTTCATGTGCCTCGGCCTTTTCAGAGTTTACGTGCTACGAGACCTGTTGCGGCAAAGGCCTTCCGCCGCCTTGTGGCAATTGGTTTCTGGTGTGTGAGTCAAGCCAAATGTGATTGAAACCCACCCCGTGCGCATGCCCAAACACTAAGCCCGAAACCCTGCTGTTACATCGACCCATTTTTTTGCCCAGAGTCATGATCCCAAGACATCATCCGTCACATCAAGCGCAAACTCTGAAACGAGGTCCAGGATTGTCGCTGTTGCGAGCTGTGATCGCGGGGCTGTCAGGTTCTTTGCTCTCTCCGCCTTCGCCGTTTGCGCAGCTCGGCCACGGAGCTCCTGTATGCCTATGCCTACCGTGCGTGGACAAAATCCTGCACCACTTTGAAGCCATGGGAAACCATGGTTTGTTGGTATTTACAGGGGAATCATCATTCCAGGGTTTCTTGAGTGGTGCAGGATTTCGTCCATCCACAGTAGCTCCATTTCCTGGTTGCGGTTTGGTTTGGATGATTGGAGGGCGGTTTGTTTGGCGTGCTGTTAGATTCAGATGTGGGAACATTGTGGGTCATTCCCTGGAATGTCCTGGCAAAGACCTGGAGGAGAAAAGAGGGCCGGAGGTACAATTCATGATTCCAGAGAAGCGAGCAACACAGGCCTGAATGGAGGTTCATTTAGGAGCACAGCATGTCCCAACTGCACCCACCGCCAGTAACAGCAGCTTGCTACTTAGACCGCGGGTTGAACCGAGCTGAGGTCGCATCCTTGACCCAGGCCTATTTCAAGATCTCAGAGCGGAGCCGGAGCTTTACGGATGAGCTCTTCGCAGCGGGGGGTCCCGGAAGGACACACCACCAGCGCAAAAAGTGCGTTTTTGATGGGACCAGAGGTAAAGAGACCTTATGAAGTGAAGGTGTCTCCGATTCCTAGCCACAAAAACCGGCTAAGTGAAGGTGAGTGGGATAGTCCCAACCATAGTGCGGCCGTCCGTTTGATTTTCACTGACCGTGGCGGAAGTGGCCGCTTTTGTATGCCTGGAGCAAAGTCCAGCAGGGCTGCCTTTTGTAGCGAGTATCCGCAGAGGGCCGTGCAAAGGTGTCTCAAGGATGGCATGTTGTATTGTCCGTATGCCGATCTGCTGGCCAGGGATGGGCCCGTCGTGCCCGCCCACCCGCCCACCCTGGCTCCCGGGTTTCTGAATTGGGGAGTCACGTGGCACTCCAAGCTTCTGCACTCGGGGGTTGGACAAATGCATCGTGGGTGGGATGAACACATTTTTTTGCAGCATCCGCAGCATCCGCGCCACCCGCAGCACCACCCCCACCATCCGCACCACCTGCACCGCCCGCACCATCCGCAACTTAAACACTTATTTCAATTATTTATTTGCCTGCTGTGAGCCTGCGGTGACCGCATATATTCTTAGTTCCTAGCAGCATTTTGCTACCTAGGTGCGCATGCTGCTGAAAAGGCTGAAGATGGACCCTACATCCAGGCACGCGCGTGGGAAGCAGTTTGACTCTATTGGGCTGCGCATGGCTCACGCCACTGGCATGCGCATGTCGGCTTGCTGTTGCCATGGCAATGAGCAGCCGCAAGTTGGGATGGGGCCGGCTTGGGCTGTCAGCTTCCCAAGCGCAGGCGCAAGGTGAAGGAGTTCCTGACGCTGATGCCGCTTCTCCGCATTTCGGAACTTTGAGGGGGAGTGCCTCAAAACGAGACCCCCATGGCTGATTTCCGAGTGATTGATTCTCCAGAGCCCACCAAAAAGAGGGTCCCAAAAGAAGTGATACACGTCCGACGGGGAATTCGCGGCAGGTTTGAGCGACGGAGGATCATGGCCAAGGAAAAGAACCTGATCAATGTGCTGCTTGCCTTGAGGGCTGGAATTTGGAGTTCTCACGCGCGGTCAAGTTGTCAAGGGATCGAAGCGAAAGGGAATACAAGAATCAGCTCCACCACTTGATTTGGAGGGTTTTTGTTTGGGAAAGGCATGTGCTGGACGAGTCCTAAGGTCCGCTTTTTGGGGCTGGCCGGGCTTCGGGGAGTGGGAGCGAAAGCGGCAGCCACTTTCAGGTGGCGTGTTCCTTCCAGGTCTCCATTAGCCCCCAAACCACCGATTTTTTTGACCCCAGATTCGTCAACCCCTGTTTATTCATATGGGGGTATTCCGGTGTTCCAAGAGTGATAAATCCCCACTAAAACCAGGGAAAAGCACCCCCATATTCATCAAAAGTTCATTCATTTGGGGTCAACAGTGTGCGCCATATTAGGGTTATGCGTGGGCTCGCAGGTCGCCGGATTTTTGGACAATGAATTCCCATTGCGAGGGTGCTAATGTCAAAGAACTTTGGCCATCTGCAAAGTTTTGGGGCAGACAGATCCAGGAAACCACTGGACCATAGGCGTCCATTTTTGGTTACTTGTTACCCCAACCCTTAGTAACCATACTGTGGATGGACGAAATCCATTTCGCACCACTTTTGAAACCATGAGAAACCATAACGTTTGTTGTCATTTACAGGGGAATCATCAGAAACCAGGGTTTCTTAGGTGGTGCGAAATGGATTTCGCAACCATCCACAGTAACCCCCATTCACCAAAGAAACCCCAGTTGATTACTCTCAACTCTCCAGGGGTTGATTCCTTTTCCATTCTTTTCAGCCATCCTTCTTTTCAAGAACCGATCGCCATTTCCCCAAGGCTTTTTGTGGTTTTCTAGAAAGAAATTCGGATCCCTGGAAAGAATTGGGAAGCTACCCCTAGATTGTTAGCTAGTTTCCTGGTAGCTACCTGATTAGCGATCTCGAATTTAGAAGCTCTAAATGGAAATGGAAGTTCCGCCTTCTCAACTCTACCCTCGGCCACAGGCTACCGCAGCGGCTCCAGGATGAGGCGATTGAATCAGCGCTGGCGTCACGTATCCATGAGGGTGAGTTGCCAACAAACACCCAACCCAATTTGGAATTTCATGTCATCCCCAAGGGAAGTGCTTTTTGATTTTTGTTTTTTGCATTGCATTGAACGAATCGCTGCCTTAGTTTGGTCATTTGCCACATTGCTTCAGGTCCAGGACGCAGATCAATGCCGTATGGGTCAAAATCCCACCAGAAAATCCGCAGGTTTTAATCTTTGGTTCCATTTACCAGGGTCCCATTTTCGGTACGCCTTTTTTTTGACCCACAGCCATTTCATCCCCCAAAGGGAAGCGGAATTTCAGACGCCTTCTGAAAACCGGATTGCGTCATGTTTGGTCATGGCGCGCTGGCTTTCTGCAACCGGGTATGGGTCAAAATTAAACCATCAGGAATTGGACCGCAGGTTTTGGTCCATGTTTCCATTTACCAGGGCACCCCATTTTGGGGTTACCCTATTTTTGACCCACACCCAACTCAGCCTAGACTTTAGGCTGCTTTCGCGAATGCGATGCCAGGTGGAGCGCGCGAGGCGGCTCCAGCATCTGATGAGGCGGGGAAAGCTGTTTGCGCCGCGAAAATCCGAACATCCGCGCGCCGTGGCTCTGGTTGGGAGCGGTTTTTCGTTGAGCCGAGGTTTGCAACGGTTGAAGCAAAAACTCGCACATGCATTTCGGAGGTGTTTCCTTGCCCCAAGGGCATGGCAAGCGGGGCGTAAAAAAAAACCCGAAAGGCGTTTACAGAAACCCGACGTCGGAAGGCTTTGGTGCGTTTGGCTGTGCTAGGCTTCCCGGGATGTCCGACATTAGCAAGGACAGAGCCGGTGGAGCAGCGCCGGCCAACTGCAGACGTTCCGTTTGCGGACAGTGCTTGAAGTGTACTGTTAACCTCGGATGAATACACCCCCGGTGGATTAATAGGGGGTGTCCCCTGTTAGTGGGGATTCATCACTTTTGGAGGGAACACCCCGCCTCATACTGGGACAGGTTTATTAATCCTGGGTCAACATTAGGTACTGTTGCCCCTGTGCGAACTCAGGATGTGTGCGAACTCAGCATTTTTGAAGGCTAAGCTTCATGCTTTGCCCAAAGGGACACTGGGTTGCAGGCCGCAAGCTATTTGGTGGGTCTGTCGACGGTCAAAACCAGCCCAAAAAGGGTGGCCTCAAAAGAAGCCGAACCCAGGCTTTCCATTGCACATATTTCAAAACCAACCAGAAAAGGGTGCCAAGATGTGCCAGGCCCACACTCATGTGGCTGTGGCTCAAAATCAATGGTACCATTTTGGGATAGGTGCACCACCCATTTTGGAACCTATTTTAGTGGTTGGATTGGGATGTTCACTGGGGGTACGATTTGGATTTTGACTCATGGCCATGTAACCGGAAGATCTGTGTGACTCGAAAGGAGAAACTCGCGGAGATCTGCAAGGAGGAGAACAAGTGCGTGGAGTTCTTCGACATGTGCCCCGGTGACTTCGCCCCTCGAGCTGCAAGTCTTGGGTGATTTGATCCAGGGACGCCAAACCGGTAGTTTGGAGCCCGGTGTGGGGAAGGAAGGTGCCACTGCCAATGAACTAGACTCCGCTTGCAACACAAGCAGGGAGTAAAAGTTGCCTTCGGTTTGCTAGCCGGGTCGTCATTGCTGTTGCAGCGACGGCTTCGGCGATTGGGACGGAAACCCGTGTGGTTCTTGGCCCCATCACCCGGCAGTTCCAGAAGCAAGCCTGATGCCAGAACCCCAAACCACTACCCCCAGAAGTGCGCACAGTTGCATGACTTTTTAACCATGGTTTTTCACGTCCCTGCCAGCATTGAATTGCAGGTCAGGCGGCTGTGTCAAAGTCATGCGGCTTTTTGTGTCAAAGTCATGCCGAGGCCCTCGAAGTCCGTTTTCAATGAGGGTAAGGGATGACAAGGGTCATAGGTGTCCTTTTTAGGTTAGCGTGGTCAAAAATAGAGGGCACTGGTTTAGACGGCTTTTGTTTCTCCATTTGCCAGGGACGCCCATCTATTTTTTCCCCAAAGGCCACCTTTGAGAAGGGGAATGTCCGGCCTCGCAAAGGCGCACCGCGCCGTGCCAAGCTTTGGAGCCTTTCCTTGGCCTTATAACTTCCATCTGACGTTCTCATCCGGTGGCTTTTGTTGGACCCCAAAGCGAACAAACAAAAAAGCTGCTCCTTGGCATGGCCTGGACATGCCATAAAATGAAAGGCAGCGACCGCCTTTTGAAGATTGCAATGAGGGCACCGAATGGAAGGGAAACAGACATGTGTCGACATATTCCGACTGCTTGTCCTATCAGGCTACAACCGCATTTGTTCACCAGGCCTGGTCAACAAGGCCCAGTGCATGAGTGCATGAGTCAAGTTGCGAACGTGTTGATCAGGGTTCTGTTGCACAAGCGCCAACGGAATTTGACAAGTTTTTTGTGTTTGCGCCCGCATCCAAGGCATGCAAAATGGGGGAGGCGGCTTGGCTACATTTGCGTGGCTTGGAGTGGCCGCAAAGCGTTTGGCCCAGACCCCTGCCGTAGTTTCCCGACCGTTCTAGTCATTCCAGGGATGGATTTCCTTCTTGTTGTATCACAGAAGTGGTCATTTCCCACAGCCCTGCCATAAGAGAAGTGTCGCTTTTCCCCTGACCACGCAGGCGAGCCTTCCTTGTCGGTTTGGACTTGGGGTTGCCGGATCGTGTGCTTTCGGCTCACATAGCGGATTGGAGCTAGGTTCGCGGGCACCTGTGTGAAGGATGGCTCGCAAACTTCCCAGGTATGGGTCAAAATTACACCAGGGGATTGGCGTTGCCCCAATGTTTGACAACCCACCCCCCTTTAGGTGTTAGCCAGGCAGGAGTCCTATGCAGGATCCCTCCCCTTAGGTGTTAGCCAGGAGTCCTATGCAGGATTCCTAGAGCCCACGGACGTGGCTTTCTGGAGGAACCCTTCAAGGCGCATAGCAACGAGTTCCCAATCTGAGCATCCCACATGTCCCTTCCAAGTGAGCAAGTCACAGCTTGCAACGTTTGTAGCCGGACAAACATGGAATCGCTCTGTAGGATGGAACCTCTGGAGGAACCGGAGAGGGACAAACCTCTGAAAGCGCCTTGGATCTTTTTTTCTGCCGCCCTACAAAACCCAGTCTTGTGAGAGCGCTGCAAAAGAAGAATGCAAATAACAAATCCCAGGGAATGAGGCATGCACCCAGGGATTCCCTTCACTGGGCTGTTCAAAGGTAATCCTTAATCCTTTCCTGGGGTTATGTAAAGGGGTCCCCTTTGCAGTGGCTTTTTCCTTTTGGGATTCTGGAAAGTCGGATTGGCCCACCCTCCATTTTGAACAGCCCAGCTGAAAAGCTGAAAGGAAGCCACAAAAGGATGGTTCAGCGGGGTTCCATTTCTCAGGGCCCCCAGATGGGCCGTGGCTCAGGAAGCGGAGGCGGCGTGGATCCTTTGCGCTGGGCGGCTGCAAGCTTTGGACGAGGAGGGCGAGGCCGCGGGGCGGCGTTGGTTCGTTTGAGGGTAGCCTTACCCTAGGCTTCCTTGCGGCCATGGAATACTCACATGCTTGTTGTTGGGAAACAGTTTAGATGTTTGCGTATTGGGGTTTAGTGGGAAATCCCCACTTAACTGCTATTTTTTCTTCTCCCCTTCCAACGTCAACCAAGGAATAGCATGGCAAGCAATTTTTAGATGACAACCCTGCATTGCAAACAGTGCTGGTTATACCAACCCCCGTTGTTTCAATGGTGGCTTCAAGCAGGGGGGGGGGTCTTTTTGCCACCTTTGGTGGAAAACTGATCGACCCCCTTGTAGTGAAGGATTCCTTTTTGAGGCGGTCGCCAATTTTCGCACAAAAGGTGGCACAAAGACCCCCCCGGCTTCGCACCTTGGTCCCCCAAAGAACTCTGGAGCTGGATGGATACGAGCCAGAAAAAGAATGTGCGCCAGAGTGCTGTGCTCGGTCACTAGGGCTGGTTCTCCAGGTTCTCCGGGTTTGATCTCACCAGTTGGGTATGGGTCAAGAAAAGAACACAAACACTACCAGCAAAAACCACTTTATTAAAAAAAAAGAAACATCTTAGTCCATGGTAACCCATTTCTCAGGCCTGCCCCCATGGGTGGCCAGCGATTTTGGAAATCCGGGCAGGTAATGATCCTTGGGGATGAGTCGCTGGATGCGGTGGACGAAGATTGCCTCTGGAGCTCAGAGCCCTTCAAGCGCCTCGAGCCCGGGGGGTGGTTGCAGCGGCTTGGGGTCCCCCGAAAACGGAAACCACTCCAGTCGGAGGGTGGAAAGGGGTCGTTCCATGTCTGATTCCCTGCTGAACACCGGCAAGACGACCACCTCTGTGCTTTGTTTCTTGAAGAATAGCCCAGTTCCCGCTGTAACTGGAAGCACTGAACAATTATGGGGACGTGCGTAGCCAGAGCATCGTATGTGGCACGTTCTTTGGTGACACACCACTTGCTTGGCATTTGGCATTGTAAGAGAGGAGAGAGAGAGAGAGAGAGAGAGAGAGAGAGAGAGAGAGAGAGAGAGAGAGAGAGAGAGAGAGAGAGAGAGAGAGAGAGAGAGAGAGAGAGACGAGAGAGAGAGAGAGAGAGAGAGAGATTGAGAGAGAGAGAGAGAGAGAGAGGGGAGAGAGAGAGAGAGAGAGAGAGAGAGAGAGAGAGAGAGAGAGAGAGAGAGGGAGAGAGAGAGGGAGAGAGAGAGAGAGAGAGAGAGAGAGAGAGAGAGAGGGAGAGGGCATGAGTCTGCAAGTGGAGGTTGCTCCGATTTAGTGAGCTTGCCAAGTTGCCAAGGTGACTGGTGTCGTTTCACTCGTTGCCTTTGCATGAGTCTTAGCCAGTTGGTTCTTGGCCTGGCCGGACTTCCGGCCCAGGTCTCCATTCACAGTCAGCGCCTATACCGCCTGCGAAATGCTGAAGATCAACAAGGACCGAAGTCCTGGGGCATTTGCATGCTGGAAATGGGCCATGGGCAAGATCCGTAGGCACCAGGATGCCCACAATGTCGTAACCGAGGCTCATTTGACCCGGCCTTTCGGTCGCATGCTTTGCCCATTGTTTAGACGCATGCTTTCTGTCATCATACAGCTTACCTCAGGTTTACCTAGAACAGTTGTAAGGTTGGGCCTTGTTCCAAGTTTAAGTTTGATGCGCATGTTTGTTTCAGGGCCGCTTATTTGTTCTGCTTGTTTCCAAGCAGCTTTCGTAGTGTCAATGCTGTTTTTGATCATTTCAACCCTGGTGGAGAGCACTGAGAGCAATCTCAGTACTCACTCCGTGTCAGAGGTTTGGAGCGCATCAATGTTCCGTGCCTCCGTTTTTGGGAAGTCATGCTTGCTTATTTCTTCCCCTCCCTGGACAAAGTCGATTGCCCTGCCCGATTTTCACGCAGAGTTCCGAGAAATACCCCATGTCCGGGCTTGCCTGGGGTGGAAGTGAATTCGATTGAAAGTGGGTGTGTATTGATGTATTGTTCTGGGGAATCCTTCGTTGGTTGCTAAAAAAGGAAAGGACACACCCGCTTTTCTCGGGGATTCCAGCACAAACAACGACACACCAGTTGCCATCGGAGGCTAGGCCGCCCGACTTGTTCGCCTAATGCTAACAAAAAGTGCCACAAAAAACAGAAGACACACCGGTTGCCATTGGAGGCTACCGCCGTGCCAGGAGAAGTTTGTGGAAATCGCCTCTACAGACCAGGAGGCGGGCGACAGGTTGACCCTCCGACTCCGACTGAAAGGGTCTCAGACAATTCTATCTTTCCCGGAGGTTTGGGGGGACAGGGACGGCGACTTGGCGGTGTATTTAGCTAGATTCTTTCGCCGCTCGCCGGTGTCTCCAAATTGAGGTTGGGCCAATTTTCTGATCTAGAATCTTTAGCCACCGCTGGCTGGTGGCTCAAAATGTGAGGTTTGACCTTAATTTTCTTTTGCTGGGTGGGAACCACATCCCTGGTTTCTTTTTCGCCGTTTTGTCTGGCTCCAATTTGGAAGATGAAGCTCTTCCTGTGGTTTCGACGGGCGATCCAACCAGGATCTCCAGGGGGATCCATGGCCCACACTCCAGATGCACATTTTGGGGTATAGCAAGCGGCTGGTCGCTCTCCCTACATGGAAGCTCCCAGCTGTAAATGGGAAGGACCAAGTCTTCCCAGTTTCTGGGAACTTCCATGTGCGCCGAAGTAAGCTTCCGGCTCCTGAGGCCCCAAACAGTTGAAGTTATATCCCTTCCAACTAACAGGCGCCTGGGAGGTACCTGTTTTTTTTTTTTTTTTACACCTTTTGAAGGGACCGTTACGGGCCCCAGTTGCCATGTCAGTGGGAGGGTATCCCTTCTGTGCCGAAAGAAATATTTCCCCTCCACAGCGGGCGAGGTGTTGCGGAACACTTAAAACAAAAGGAAAATGGCAGTTCGGGGAAAGTGCCCCCAGGTTTTCTCCAGGGCACCCGATTTGTTAATTTTTCCGCGTTGGAATCGGGTTTCACTTCGCCCCCCGCATGGCAGGTCTGGACTTCCTGCTCCCAGTCGAGACGACGGAACGTTCCAACAGCGCAGCGGGCACTGGCGGGCGCAGCGGGCCTCGCCGCTCTGGCAAGACACAGCACCAGGTCCCCAGTAGCGCCCTTTTACTCTTTTTCTGGGGAGGGCCCCCCTGCTAAAATAGACTGCCGGACGCAATCGGAAGCTTCGCAACCAATGGGTAAGCCACTCCTAACCAAGGGACCAGCCCTAATCAAGGGGAAAGTGAGCACCCCTCGAGTAACTCTAGGTTCTCCGGTTGGGATAAGGCTGCCAACTTTTCGGTTCAGGGGCGGTTCACCCTTGGTTGGGGGTGGTTTGCCCTTGGTTCGGGGTGGTTTAGGGGTGGTTTACCTGTGTGGTTTGCCCTTGGTTCGGGGTGGTTTAGGGGTGGTTTACCTTTGGTTGGGGGTGGTTTGCCCTTGGTTAGGGGTGGTTTAGGGGTGGTTTACCCTTGGTTAGGGGTGGTTTCCCAATTAATTACCCTCTACAAGAAGCAGGGTTTTTTCCCCGCAAACCACCAATCCAAGCCACCAATTGGGGACGGTAAAACGTCTCGACGGTTAGGGGACCCAAAATGGATGTTCTCTTTCAAAAAGGCCCAAGGGTAGCCCCTAATAACATGGCACCCGTGGGCGGATACCTAGAAGACAAGTGGGACGCCCTGTCAGGTGCCATGTGGGAGGAAGGATACCCATATTAATTTATGAATTGCAACAGGGAGCCACCTTAAAAGTAGTTGGTGGACATGAATCCCCACTGATTTTGATCCACCAAAGGGCCACCCGAAAGTGTGGTTCCCTGTGCAGCAAGCCCGGAAAGGGAAGCCTCCAAATGTTCCTCTTAATTCTTAATGGTTTGAAGCATTCCCATTTTCTCCCATAGTAGTTGATGACTTCATTCTACCTGCTTTGCTCACTTCCAGCTCAGCTGAGCATAGTAAGGTTGCTTTTTGTCGCGCATACTCATGTGGTATGCCCTTATCTATACGCCTTGGTCCGCTTGCACTCCATCCAACATGGCCAAGATCGCCAAGGGTTCACCGACCGCCGCTCAAGATCTGCAAGGGCAAGTTGTCGTTATTGTGTTGTCTTATGCAGCCGATCCACTCATGCGGATATGGGTCAAATTTCCATTTACCAGGGTACCCCATTTTGGGTACCTATTTTGACCCACACCCATGTGAAGGGAGGTTGGTTCAGAAGTGCGTCCGAAATTCAGACGCCCACTCCAAATTTACGCGGAGCATTTTGGGGGTGTTTGACCCCTTTTTCCCTTTATTTTGTTCCTTGGCTGCCCCACTAAAGAATGGCCCAAGCCCCCAAAAAGGTTCCCTTTTTCTTCCAGGGTGACTGAACTGAGCTTCCGCTTGTGAGAAAAAACAGAAGCTCAGATCATCGACACCTCGGCGGCGGCGGCTGTCTCTTCCATTTCTGCCGGCTGAGAGGAGAGGCGTTTGGGCGGTTGGACGGAATCCGGTTCGCACCACTTTGAAACCATGGTTGAAACCACAACGTTTGTTGGTATTGCAAGGGAATCATCAGAAACCAGGGTTTCTTAGGTGGTGCAGAATTTTGTCCATCCACAGTATTACCTAACACCCAATACATGTGGTACGTAGTACAGATTTTTGTTTTGAAGTCAAGCCTGCGCTCCAAACACATGCAGCGCTTTGAGCTTGAGCATGCGAGTTTTCGGCAGCCAAACGAATCAGACGATGAGGTCCTTGAAGTAGATGTTTCCCCTGCAGGATTCGCCGTGCAGCTGGCACCAGGCAGTGATGTTTGCGCGCTGCCTGTAGCCCGTCAGGCTTCGGTGACTGTTCTGAGGCAGATTGCCCAAGGTCTGGTTGGGATGCTTCTTTTGTGGATGCACCCGCAGAGTACTGGACGTGTTTCCTTTTTGGTAGCAAGTCTGAGGTGTAATCCACAGAGGGGGCATCCCAACCGTCGCCACAGGCATCTTGGGGGGTAGCAACTCTCCGTTTTGCAGTGGCTCAGAACTCACCAGGGAGAAGCCAGGGCTGGGACTTTTCCCTGGACTCAAGGGCTCTGTTGGCCTTTTGCGCCAACCGGGTCTCTCGAAAAAGCTGGTAATTCATGGGCAAGGGCGGCTCGCAACACTTGGATCCCTTGCCTCATGGCCTGCAAGAGGGTTTCAAACGAAACTCGCCGGTTTCACCACGACTCAGTACCTCGGCCACGTCCCGATGCAACCTGCAACGAGAGAAAAGGCGTCTCCAAGCGCGCAGCGTTTGGAACTTGACCCAGGCAGCCCAGGCGAACGGAACTCGACCAGGAATGCCGGCTGAAGTTTCATAGTGGAGAATTCCATTTCGCACCACCTAAGCGACCATGAGACACCATGGTTTGTTGGTATTGCAGGGGAATCAACAGAAACCAGGGCTTCTTCAGTGTGTAGGATTTCGTCCATCCACAGTTCATGATGTATGCTTCACGTATCGTCTCAGATACGCATTGCGGATTGGTGCGAGACACGGTTGTCCTTTTCGTGGGCTTCGACATGCAGACCAAGGCGACCAGCGAAAATCCGAGCAAGGGTTTCAGGAGTTGGGAGTTGGCCGTGTTCTGCATTCACACCTTGTCTTTGCACAGCAGACTGTGTCAGAATAAGTTGCTCCAGTTCCGGGCGGTGATGTCAACCATCTTTTTCACAAACTGAGTGTCATTTTTTTTGCGGGGACCTGCTCAAATCCCGGTTTTCCTTTCGGTTTCCCCTTGCACACAGCCCCAAAAAGGAGGCTGCCAACTCCCAAAAGCACGGCACCCACTGGTTGGAAGCCGGATCTCAACCCAGGGCGCCAAAAAAAAGATGAGGCCCGGATGCCGAGGCCGGATGCCCGAGCCCCAGGATCCGAAGATCCGAGCCACTCATTTGCAGCACAGGAGCGGATGAGCCCCTGATCCAACGCTTCTTTGCTTTTGCACTTTGCTTGGTGATGTGTAGTGAGTTGCTTCTTGTGATGGTGGCGTGCCAGGCAAGCCCGCATGGATGAGATGGACTGAAAGGTCAACAAAGCTGTCCCATACCAACTTAAGCAATACAGGCAAACTGCACGACAACGGAATGGTCCTACAATAGCTGACCATTCTAAATTAACAGGTACATATAGTAGGAATCTTCAGAACTATTGCAAGCACCTTGCGCGGCATGTCACAGATTGGCCGCTTCCAAGTGCAGTCATATACACGTCGGGCTTTGCTTATGGTACTATGGCGGTGTTTTCTTGGTGGCTCCCAGCCATCCCCTTAGCTTCTTAGCTTTTTAGGGCTTAGTGGGGGTGCCATTTAACCCACTAACAGGGCAACTTGTAGCCGGGGTGTGAGGACAGCCCAGTTTTTGATCTTTCCAAGTGGAGCCCAAAAGTTTGTCCATCAATCCCCTTGGCTTTTCTCTGAAAAGGACCGGCTTGTTTTTCCCAAGTCAAGAGTCCCTATGTTTCCTTTGTGTTCTTACCACGCCTTTTTGGCCCAGGCTGAGTTTCCCTTCCGTGGACGGAATCCGTTCGCACCACTTTGAAGCCATGGTTGAAACCATAACGTTTGTTGTCATTTACAGGGGACTCATCAGAAACCAGGGTTTCTGAACGGTGGTGCGTTTTATGGACTTCGCAACCATCCACAGTAACCCCCATTCACCAAAGAAACCCCAGTTGATTACTCTCAACTCTCTAGGTGTTGATTCCTTTTCCATTCTTTTCAGCCATCCTTCTTTTCAAGAACCGATCGCCATTTCCCCAAGGTTTTTTGTGGCTTTCTAGAAAGAAATTCGGATCCCTGGAAAGAATTGGACAGCTACCCCTAGATTTCTTCGGTGCAGGATGTCGTTGGAGGACCCCTGGCACCATCGCTCACGTGCTTCGAGGTTGTGAGCTACACCGCGGCAACCAGCGCCTGCGAGCGAGCCTCCCGGTGGACGCGCGAAGCTCAGGGGCTGCCCTGTCGCTGTTCCTTGTGTACGTGGTTTGTTGTTGTTTTGTGTTGTTTATTGTTGTTGTTTTTGTTGTTTTTTGTTGTTTTGTGTGTGTGTGTGTTTTTTGTTTGTTGTTTTGTGTTGTATATTGTTTGGTTTTTGATTTGAGATGCTGTTGCTGTTACTGTGAGGGTGTTTGTTCTTGTTGTTGCTCTTGTTGTGGTGGTGGTGGCGGATGTGGTTGTTGTTGGTTGTTGTTGTTGGTTGTTGTTGTTGGTTGTTGTTGTTGGTTGTTGTTGTTGGTTGTTGTTGTTGGTTGTTGTTGTTGGTTGTTGTTGTTGGTTGTTGTTGTTGGTTGTTGTTGGTGGTTGTTGTTGTTGGTTGTTGTTGTTGGTTGTTGTTGTTGGTTGTTGTTGTTGTTGTTGTTGTTGTTGTTGTTGTTGTTGTTGTTGTTGTTGTTGTTGTTGTTGTTTGTTGTTTGTTGTTTGTTGTTTGTTGTTTGTTGTTTGTTGTTTGTTGTTTGTTGTTTGTTGTTTGTTGTTTGTTATTTGTTGTTTGTTGTTTGTTGTTTGTTGTTTGTTGTTTGTTGTTTGTTGTTTGTTGTTTGTTGTTTGTTGTTTGTTGTTGTTTGTTGTTGTTTGTTGTTGTTTGTTGTTGTTTGTTGTTGTGTGTTGTTGTTTGTTGTTGTTTGTTGTTGTTTGTTGTTGTTTGTTGTTGCTTGTTGTTGCTTGTTGTTGTTTGTTGTTGTGTTGTTGTTGTTTGTTGTTGTTGTTGTTGTTGTTGTTGTTGTTGTTGTTGTTGTTGTTGTTGTTGTTGTTGTTGTTGTTGTTGTTGTTGTTGTTGTTGGTGTTGTTGTTTGTTGTTGTTGGTTGTTGTTGGTTGTTGTTTGTTTGTTGTTCTTGTTGTTGTTGTTGGTGGTGGTGGTGGTTGTTGTTGTTGTTGGTGGTGGTTGTGGTGGTGGTTGTGGTGTTGGTGTTGGTGTTGGTGTTGGTGTTGGTGTTGGTGTTGGTGTTGGTGGTGGTGGTGGTGTTGGTGGTGTTGGTGGTGGTGGTGTTGGTGGTGTGGTGGTGTGGTGGTGTGGTGGTGTGGTGGTGTGGTGGTGTGGTGGTGTGGTGGTGTGGTGGTGTGGGGGGGTGGTGGTGGTGGTGTTGTTGTGGTTGTGGCTGTGGCTGTGGTTGTGGTTGTGGTTGTGGTTGTGGTTGTGGTTGTCGTGTCGTTGTCGTGGTCGTTGGTCGTTGGTCTTTGCTTGTTTGGTTGTTGGTTGTTGGTTGTTGGTTGTGTGTTTGTTGTTTGTTGTTTGGTGTTTGTTGTTTGTTGTTTGCTGCTTGCTGCTTGCTGCTTGCTGGTTGCTGCTTGCTGCTTGCTGCTTGCTACTTGCTGCTTGCTGCTTGCTGCTTGCTGCTGCTGCCGCCGCCGCCGCTACTGTTGTTGTTGTTGTTGTTGTTGTTGTTGTTGTGGTTGTGGTTGTGGTCGTGGTTGTGGTGGTGGTGGTGCTGGTTGTTGTTGTGGTTGTTGTGCTTGTTGTTGTTGTTGTCGTCGTCGTCGTCGTCGTCGTCGTCGTCGTTGTCGTTGTCGTTGGCGTTGGCGTTGTCCATGTCCATGTCCATGTCCATGTCCATGTCCTTGTCGTCGTCGTGGTCATTGTCGTTGTCGTTGTCGTTGTCGCTGTCGTCGTTGTTGCTGCTGCTGCTGTTGTTGGTGGTGGTGGTGTTGTTGTTGTGGTTGTGCTTGTGCTTGTGCTTGTCGTGTCGTTGGTCGATGTTGGTCGTTGGTCGTTGGTTGTTCGGTTGTTGGTTGTTGGTTGTGTGTTGTGTGTTGTTTATTATATTATTGTGTGTTGTTTGTTGTTTGTTGTGTATTGTTTGTTGTTTGCTGCTTGCTGCTTGCTTGCTGCTTGCTGCTTGCTTGCTGCTTGCTGCTTGCTCGCTGCTTGCTGCTTGCTGCTTGCTGCTTGCTGCTTGCTGCTTGCTGCTTGCTGCTTGCTGCTTGCTGCTTGCTGCTTGCTGCTGCTGCTGCTGCTGCTGCGGCCGCCGCCGCCGCCGCTACTGTTGTGGTTGTGGTTGTGGTTGTGGTTGTGGTGGTGGTGGTGGTGGTTGTGGTTGTGGGTTGTTGTTGTTGTTGTTGATTGTTGTTGTTGTTGTTGTTGTTGTTGTTGTTGTTGTTGTTGTTGTTGTTGTTGTTGTTGTTGTTGTTGTTGTTGTTGTTGTTTGTGGTTGTTGTTGTTGTTGTTGTTGTTGTTGTTGTTGTTGTTGTTGTTGTTGTTGTTGTTGTTGTTGTTGTTGTTGTTGTTGTTGTTGTTGGTGTTGTTGTTGTTGTTGTTGTTGTTGTTGTTGTTGGTGTTGTTGTTGATGTTGTTGTTGTTGTTGTTGTTGTTGTTGTTGTTGTTGTTGTTGTTGTTGTTAGTGTTGTTGTTGTTGTTGTTGTTGTTGTTGTTGTTGTTGTTGTTGTTGTTGTTGTTGTTGTTGTTGTTGTTGTTGTTGTTGTTGTTGTTGTTGTTGTTGTTGTTGTTGT